TTAGACTCTTGGCACTCTTAGGTGAGCAGACTTAGTCAGCCTGTGTTGCCCTAACACAAAGGATGAAAACCTAAGAGGATGAATTGTGGCCCTTCACCATGACACATGAAGTGCAGGACACCTGGCAGATGGAAGACCCTCAAATTGGTCTCTCAAAACTACTGGTGGCTGAATATGAGCCAATTTGTGGCCCGATTTGTTCAATCCTGTGAACCATGCAACTGAACCAAGATCTATCCTCAGCCAATTGTGGGCAAGCTCATCCTAAACCAAATCCCAGCCAAATGGTGGGAGGTTGTTTCAACAGACCTCATTGTGGGCCTCCCTGAATGACTGGGGTACAATTTGATATTTGTGGCAGTGGATTGACTGACAAAATGGGCCCACTTTGCCCCAACTCAGAAGGAGGTCAGTTCCAAAGGGATTGCTTGTCTGTTTTGGGACAATGTGTGGAAGCACCATGGCCTACCAAAGGAGGTGATCAGTGACTGAGGGTCCCAATTCATCTCCAAATTCATGACCAAACTGAATTCGATGCTAGAGGTGAAGATCTCTGCTTTGACTGCCTACCATCCTCAGAGTGATAGGCAGACTGAACAGGTGAATCAAGAGGTCAAACAGTACCTTTGGCTATTCATGAACTACAGGCAAGACAACTGGGCAGACTGGCTGTCCCTTGCCGAATTTGCCTATAACAACCGAATCTCTTTGGCAACTTGAGTGACCCCATTCATGGCAGACACTGGACGAAACCCCCGTATGGGTGTTGAACCATTTCATGAAACAAAGATTGTGGGAGTTGAAGACTTCACAAAGCATATGAAGGACCTCAAATCCAAATGCAGGGCAGCCCTCGAACAGGCAGCAGATGATATGGCATGATTCTAGGACCAAACACATGGTGACACCCCTGAATGCAAGAAGGTGACAAGGTTTGGCTCGATTTGAGGAACATCCAGACAACTTGGCCCACAAAGAAGCTGGATGACAAGTGGTTTGGCCCGTTTGAGATCAAACTTCAGGTGAACCTGAATGCCTATAGGCTGAAGCTCCTGAAGCACTTCTTGGTTCACCCAGTATTTCATGTCAGCAAGCTTCAGAGGTACTTCCCAAATGACATCAAAGGCCAAACGGTGATGAAGCCTCCCCCACCCATCATTCATAAGGATACTTTGAGATCATTTGAGGTTGAACAAATTGAAGACAGCAAGTTTCAATATGCCAAGCTCTACTACAGAGTGAAGTGGAAAGGCTACCCCTCTTCAGAGAGCACCTGGGAGCCAAAGGACAACCTTTGTGGAGCCGCTTGGCCCATTCGGGAGTTTCACCAGCAGTACCCTGAAGCACCCCAGCAGCTGTCTGCAACAGACTTTGCACAACTTTTGTTTCACCCACTTGAGAACTTCACCAAACTGCCAAAGCAAGTCCTATTCAACTGGACAGAGGGGAGAGCAAATTGACCCCTGAAGGGACCACAGGCATGATTTGCTGGGACATCAAATCTTAAGGAGGGGGTGATGTCAGGGTACACTGAATTCGGACCGATTCAAGCCACATTCGGAGTCCAAATGCCCATTTGTCCCACCCTGAACACCCATTCAACTTGTCACCAATCAAAGGAGCACAGCAAACTCAGGAGCCAGCACAATGAAGCATCATTGGCCATTCATGACTGTTCATAGGTGCTTTGGGGTTCATTTGGACATGTACAGTTCTTCAGCCACATTTCTGCTTCCCTTTTGCTTCCTTTTTTAGATTAGATATATATACCCAGCTGACAGGGCCTTATGCCCCTCAGAGCTGATCTTTCAGGAATTCCGCTTCATCGAATTGTACATTCGATAGTGCCGAATCGAACCGAAGTCATTAGTCTCTGCCTCCGAATCACGGGACCCCCTGTTCACTGAGATTGACTTATACTGTTCTTGGTGATTCGTCCCTTCGACTACTGTTCATCTCTGCTCGACAGGAGCTTCATCCGAACTTCATCCGAACCTCTCCGAACTGTTATCCTTAGTGGCTTGAGCTTTATTCGGGTTACTGGTCGAAAGCCTTTTGCTTCGACTGCACGCCCTGACAGGTTGCTCGAGGCTCATTATGAAGATCGTTGTAATCGTCTGTGAATGACTCTCCCTTCGACAAATCGAGATGTCCAGGACACCCAGCAGGTACACCAGAGGATGGGATGTATACAGCAACAATGGCAAAAGCCATCTCGTGCTGATCTCCCCCTACACCTCCTTAACTGCCTCCTGTATCGCAACGAGAGCAGCTATGATATCTGTTCCAGAAGTTCGGCGGTGGAGAGCGTGGTCTCAATCGGTGGGGACAAAAAGGTGCATTCAGCAACGTCCAGGGGCATCAATGGGTGCGTCCCGTGAGCCATATAATAAGGACTTAAGCCGGTAATGGAGTGTATCATTATTTGCTCGGCCCAGAATACCGCCGGTACGAGGGTGGGCCACTTCGTTACTCCGGTGCCCGAGAGACGGACTAAGCTTTCCCTGACGGTGCGGTGGCTTTGTTCCACAATGCCATTTGCACGGGAGTTGTAGCCAGATATGCGGATGTGTTTGATATTATACCGTCGAGATAATTCAGCCATTGCTTTGACCCACGGGGTACCGTCATCCGTAACAATTTCGGTGAGCGTACCCCAACGGCAAATCAAATTATTGAAGAGAAATTCTGCGAGGTTTTTCCCTGTTTCTGTGCGAAGCATGGTCCATTCAGGGTAATGTGTAAGCAAGCAGCGAGCTTGGGCGATATAGCGGTATCTGGCCACAGGGGCGGTAGACACCGGCATGAGCATGGAATCGCAGTACGCTTTGCTGAACAGACGTGCGGGTTCCTGTACAACGGGCGGTATGATAACGCGGGTAGTTTGTTGAACCTGGCACTGATGACATGTGCGGACGAACCAGGTGACGTCGTTATTCAAAAATGGCCACCAAAACCGTAAGGATATGTGTGCACGGAGGGCACGTTGCCCTTTGTGTCCTAAGGTTTCATGGGCAGAACGGAGGGCGGCGGGGCGGCGGACAAACGGAAGGTATAGTTTGTGTTCGCCCGTCGGGTGTCGGCGGTATAATGAACCGTTTTCGTCGAGAAAAAAGTTCGTAGCTAATTTAATAAACTTCTTCAGAGCGGCCGGAGGGAAATGCGGTGTCTTCAAGGTCTTGTGGTACTCAATGATGAGGTCGATTTTCTCGTCATATGCTTGAGTCTTGGGTTGCCACGGCAGGGGGGCGCCGGGTGGGTGCGAAGGAGGTAATACTGGCGGTATTGTTTCTACCGTCATTGGTTCGTCTATTTCGATGCTATCCGTAGGAGGAAGCTGTGTCGCAAAAGGCAAGACTGGACTGGAGGGAGGACTTGCTGGTGGTGTGGTAAATGGTGATTGCAGAGGAGTGTTGGTAAAATCAGAGGGCATGTTGGTAAGCGGAGAACCGGGCGGTAGGAATACCGCTTTCGTCGGAGACATCGGTGCATGCTGATGTGGCGGAAGTTGGGATGCTGCCTGCAGGGCAAAGCAAGGCGTCGTAGACAAGCCGAGCAGGTCGTCATCAAAGTCCGGAATAGATTCATCAGGCGGATCTGAGGTGGTGGCAGGTCGCCGGGAGAGGCCGTCAGGCGCGGTATGTTTTTCCGCCGGTATATGGACAAGGTCAAAGTGAAAAAGCACAATCCAGGCAAGCCACCGGTCAATAGTAGTGTTGGGTTGAATGTCTGGATTGCGGAGCATTCCTTGGAGGTACTGCGCATCAACCTCCAATGTAAATACATCAAGGCCAATGAGCCACACGCGGTATGCTTTTAATGCACGAAAAACACGGTAGCATTCAAGCTTGGCCTGAGAATACCAGGATTCGCGTTCGTTCCATGTAATAGACCCGAATCGGGAAGGTCGCCGGCGGCCTTGTTCATCCATTTGATACAGGACGAACCCCACAGCAATATTGCTCGAGTCCACCGCTAGAATAATGCATCTACCACAGCGGTAGTCGATGGGACGGAGTACGTTATTCTCAGCTGCTTCTCGGGCTGCAGCTTGCAGTGTATGTACCGCCGCAAGTTCCAGTTCGCCAAAAGTAAAAGGAACGTCTTTCTTTTTCAAGTTTTCGAGTGGTTGCGCATGCTGGGCATAATTGCGAATAAAATTCCTCATGATACCGGCAGTTCCAAGGAATGATCGAACTTCCGATATGTTTTCACAGGGCAATTTCCAGTCCAGAAGTTTCTGAACCTTTGAGGGATCTGGATGGCATCCGTCAAAGGAGCACCGATGGCCTAAAAGAATGATTTCAGGTACTGCAATCTGGACCTTCTCTCCAGACAGAGTAGCGCTGGCGTGTCCAATGCATGTGAGAATACGGTTCATGTCCTGAATGTGCTCCCAGATAAAGCAACGAATGCCGGGGTTAGACGTAACCTCGTACGAGCCGTCTGCATTGGTATAGCGTGAAGCTGGGCCTTTGATACCGCCGTCATCGATAAACGGTGTCGTTATATGCGGTATCTCGGGTTCGAGGAGAAACGTGACGTTATCTTGCATGATACCGGGCATGTTATGTGCGCCCATGGGTGCAACGCAGTATCGGAGCGGACCAAGAGGGGATTGGAATGTGGTAAGATCACGAGATTCTGGTGCCAGGGTGTGTTGTTCAAAGCCTCGGAAAAAGTCTACCAGCGAATAGCAACTGCGACCTCCGTAGGATTCGATGAGATGCTCCGTTAACGGCGGTACCAAAGAGCTTTTTACCATAACACCATTCAGAGGTTGCAGATCAATGATAGGGCGTAAAGTCCCGTTCTTCTTGGCAACCACAAACCAGCTGGACCGGTATGCAGACTGTGCCGGCTCGTACGCACCAGCCTGAATCTTTTCACGGATAGTTTGAATCACTTGGTCCAATAACGCTGGTGCTAGCGGTATATTCTTACGCTGCCACGGGGTGTGTTCGATGGTTGGGAAAACTACCGGGTCGAAATAATCGCTGCGAAACCGCCCGATTTCGACTTCGTCCCACGAAAACACCATCTCGTGAGTGCGTAGGACCCATTTAACTAGCTCCACTTCAGCTGGCCAAAGTTCGTTGCATTGAGGTCCATGTTGTCCAAATGTTCCTGCGTCAGGCGGACACCATGTTGAAAAGGTGGGGGAAATAGTAGTACTACCGGTAGAGTTTCTAAAGGATCCGAAGGGAACCGTCGGTGGATTTTGAGATGTTCGGGATGCGTGGTGGCCACTGGTTGAACATAATGTTCAACGGGCTTGTACTTACGCACCGCAAGGATATGTTGTTTTTCGTCGTATTCATAGTAGTCAGCAAAAAATGAAGCGCGGGGCAATGTGGTGATGGACGGTATTTTGGCGGTAGATGTAGTATGGTGGATTAGAAACACGTCTCGTTGATCCTTTCTCAATTCATTGACGTTTACTGAAAATCCGCTTGGGACAAGGTGTCGTCCTGAGGATCCAAGTCCTTGGACCGAGGGGTCCAGTTACGGGTCGGAATAACGATCGTTACGGCGGTATTAGGGCAGGTTAGCGTTAATTGTTGATCCCCATTCAATAGATCTAAGGAATGGCATTTGAGCAGCATGAGGAAAGGTCGTCCGAGAAGCAGATCGAATGGTGATTCGCGGACGATATGAACTTGCAAGAAGAGAGATATAGGACCAATGGTGACACGAAGGTTACGAACACATCCCATCGTGCTTGTTGCTTGATTATTGGCACTTTCCATGTTGACTACCGAGTCCGGATAATACGGTACTTTCAGGTCTTTCCACGTATTATAGTTCATGGCAACCAATACCGAACCAGAGTCGAGGCACCCGTGCAGTTTCATGTCATTGTCACCGTCCAATAATTCGATGGCACGCAAGGGAACAATAGATTTTCCAACGGCCATGCCCGCCGGGGCGTCATTGCCGCAAATGTGTAGCATATGAGCCCAAGTGGGGACATCTTTTTCCTGTACCGCCTCGCAGCATGTACTGTCTGTCACAGCCGTTGTGTCGATACCGTCGGTATCTTGGTGTAGAAAAACCGGTTGAACTCCACGTTGGGTCCTGCGGGCTGATGTTTGATAATTGACCATTTTCCTAACATCTGGAGATACTGCCAACAATTCCCAGAATGTCAAGGTCATCGGTACATCGAGCGCATTCTCGAGTACGTTATCGACGAGAGCCGTTTGTTCAATGGGCGCGCGTAGATGAGCGCGTTGTGTGTTTTTGGAATCCGCAACAACTTGGGCTGATGGGGGGGGTCTTCGTGTTTTACGGGCTCTTGTTTAACGATGACGGGTTCTACAGATCATGTCATATGCGGCGGTATGTCGCGGTGGACACCGGTATCTGGTGGAACGGACTTGTGAGGTACGGCAACCTGCCTTTCTACTGGAGGACTGTGTTGCTGGGGCCGGTTCCTGATTCGACTGATTTCGACCTGCAAAGCATGTATTTGGTCCAGTTGTTCTTGTGATAGGAGACCAGCGGTATCCTTTTGTTCGGTATCTGAAAATAACGCATTCGGGGTTTCTACTGCGAATGCTTGTGCAAGTGGTTGAGCCGTAGTGAACAATCCAACTGGTACCGTGCCTTGGCCTTGTCGGTTGATATCCGCTGTCTTATTTCCAGGATTTTGCTGATGCCATGTCTGGACACGGTCACGGAGTAATTTGCCTTGTATAGCGGTAGGTACATATCGACCCGTCGGCAAGACGACTCTGCGGTCTTGGTTCCTTATAACGAGCCCATCCCGGACAGCGATTTCCACGTCGGGACATTCGTTCATAAAATGGTCCGGGAGGCCGCACCAACTACAGGTTCAAGTGGCTGGTGTACCTGAATTCGCGTTACTTGCATTACCTGCGGTATTCAGACCGTATGCATTGTTCGTATTGTAATTGTTGCCGGCATTCGAAGAGCGTTGTGAACTACCTTGTGGACTAGTGTGCTGAGCACATTGACGATGTTGTCGAGCTTGTTGACTAAGGTATCCGTGGTAGTAGAATACACTGGTTCAGGTTTAAGGGGAAACGTGCTCAAGGTTCCGGTATTCGAGGATATGCTCGGAGATGAAAAAGCGGTATTCGTACCGATAGTTGAAAGAGATATAACAGGCGCGTCAGCTGGGGTAGTGTGAAGCAGCCAAGACGCAGTATTTTGTACGTCAGACATCGGGTATGGAATTTTCGGGTGATGCTTCGGGAACTCAATAGCGAGTTTAGCGAGTACTTGACTTGCGAATTCGGTATGCAATCCTTGCATGAATGCGCGGTTCTTCTCTCTCTCTGATAACTGCTCTCCTTCCCCAAAGGACCTGGTAATATGGTGGAATGCACGAATGTACTCTCCCAATTGGGCTCGAGTACTCATCGGTACCGTGGCGGATTTTCGCGTTAATTCTTCGAGATCCGCGTAGGTAAAGATTTCGTCTTCTTGTGATGCGCCTGGGTACAGCTTGTACACGTCGGCCTTCCAGGTGTCATAATTGCCTCCCTTGAACGATGGCAGCTTCTTCCAAACCACTTCTGTAGCAGCAGGAGTATACCGCGCGGCGTATTCGGAGCATTGGGCAGCCGGTAGTTTGTTAGATTCTGCACACTGTTCGAAATCATCGAAATACCGCCGTAGGTCTGTAGTGGCATTCGATTCTAGTTTCGGTGCATTGCGGGAGGTTTGCAGTGGCATTTGACCTCCCACATCACCTTCTGGATCGACTCGTGGCGGCATGATAGGATCGGAAGGCTCTTGATCTGAAAGGGCGGTAGATGGCAGTACAACAATATCAGAATCAAGTAACTCTGACACGTTTTGCAAGGATGTGGTTTCTGAAGCCGTATTTGTAGTGACTCGGACTACCGGATCGCTTGGTAGTTGTTCTTCTGGTTCGTTTTCGGCTTGGAGAGACTCCTCGAGTTGTTGTAAAAGACGGGAACGTCGTGTTTGAACTATGTTGGGCAATTTGGTATCTCTGCAGCTTCACCGAGAGATAATGGCGGTATGTGAGCTCGAGGGTCTTTTCGACAATTTTGCGGTAATGACGAGGACCGTGGTAATAACGCTGGGCGCAATAACGAAGGATACGACGGAATATACGATGTACGACAATAGCGACGGGTGACGACGGTGGACAGTGGTTAACGATGTGGCGGTATCGACGAGGACCGCACTAATAAACACTGGGCACGATGGTTTGACGACAGATAACAATTGTAAAGGCCAGAAGGTGGTTTCGAATAACGGAGGACGCGCCCTGGGAATAAATCACAGAGGAGAGCCTTGCGTTGGGCTCCACTTGAAGAGACCATGACTGTAGGTAGATACAATAGATAGCCTAATCGAGCTCTCGTGCGAACCTCCTACGGGTGAGCGTGCTTCGTGATAACGCGCGTCAGTATACCGGTATCACGGTATATGTAAGGTTGAACGTTCGAGTAAGATGTGATATCAATGAGTGGGGCTAGCTAGAGAGAGGATACGAGTTGGTCGAAGGGGGAAAGTCCGGCCCTTGTTACAGGAAGATGTGGCTATCTAATGTAGAGAAGAAAGGAATGTGGAGGTGGCAATTGGAATATACCATGGAAGATGTCTGAAACCAATCAAGTAAGACAAACCCTCGATATCGGTCCGCGGCATCCGGATACCGCATGAGGATCGGTAAAACAGATGTACTGGCACGAATGTATTGGTCTGACTACTCTACGGACTAGCTACAATACAGTAGGTATAACTTTCTGTTACCTTAGTCTTGGTTTAACACATTATGTAGGGCTGACTTGTAAGCAAGTGATGAACCCTCTTCCACAGGTCGAGTCTTCCGGGTACGCGGAGAAGCCTTCCTCGCCCAGTAGCCCAGATTCTCCCAATGCTGCTCATGTGGTCTCGATTTGGTGATCTCAATTTGAATTGTTCTGGATTTGCTGGATGCGGAAATATATGCTCGATGGTTCATTGTCGTTCAGCTCCTGATTTGTATCATCATGTTCGTTTCCCAGGATAGCTCTTGTATTCTGTAATATATTCCAGCTCATGCGCAGCGGGATACCATATCTGGACATTTGCCTCGACCAACAATAATATAGCTCAGCCGGGGTATCGGAGTTAGCACTTTAGCATTATGTATCGGGAATAACTGAACCCTTTCTTTCTGAGGTGAAAACCACCAATGCATCTATCATGTCATGCGAGGCCAACTCAACTCCCTCCCTACCCCTCGACCTACACATTCTAAACATTCTTGTCTCCCAGAGTGTGAATATCAGATGCACTTCGTCCAACAATGGGTGCGGTCGTATTGGAAAAAGGATGGGGGCGCTTGATGTACGCCTGCTACACCCTCAGCTCCTGGATATGACATCTGACCCTGACTTCGCAGACCGACTTGCATTCACATTCAATTTGAAGACAAGGTCCCATGTTGAGTTGTCACCCTTCAGGGGATGCCGGAGGCTTCCCACTCGTCACCAGCCATCTACTATCCACCGAAGCACGCCCTCTAACCGAATGTCACACCGCTCTGGTGGCTGGAACTGGTGGGATTTCGGCTTCCGCGCGCGTGGGTACTGGCATATTGTTTGAGAGAATCTGGCGTGAGTCGGTTGCTTAGCCGGATCCCCAATCTGTTAAAAGTGTAAAGCAGACGATTCTGTTACACAACTATCAATTCTCGCAACCACCGGAACGGTCATGTATTCCATCTTCGTGGTGCATGTATTGCTCGTCTCTCTCTTGGGATGCGCTGCCTTGTCGCTGCAGTCCCGTGAGATCCCGATCCATGACACTATGAGCCCAGACTTGAAAACCCTGTAAGTGGGCGCTATCATAGTCATGAGTGACAACCTGACAGTTGACCGTGGGGCCTTATTAGTCTCCAGCCAGCAGGAGTCTCTTTTGGTCAAGCGTCTTGGGAAGGAACCGCCCCATGGTGCAAAGGAGAGTGCAGCGCTGGAGATCTGCAGGTTGCGGTTCTATCCGGGGAAAATTCCAGTATGTGTCCTTCCCAATGATAAGATCGGTCATGCTATGGATCCAGCGCTCACGATAGTCAGATTGGATTGCTACCCAGTCCAATTTTGGATCAACCTGCTTCATTGGAGATAAAGTGTTGTGCACCAGTCCATATAACAAATGCAAGCTACTTCATGTCCTTCATATCATTCCCTTTCGCTGAACCACCTTTCCCAGGCACGACATCTACTGCGAGCCTTCAGCTTCAGTGCGCAGACGCTGTTCACCCAGCTCGCTCTAACTCATGGATCCTGAGCGGGTAGCTAATCCCCTTTTCAATATTTGCTCGTCTTATATTCACACTGCTCGTAGGTGCCAACTGATTAACCCAGGCCCACTATGCTCTGCTCCGAGCTCTACAGTTATGGTTCGCTTGCTCAATCCTCCGAAACGGAGTGACAGCAACGGAATGGGTCCCGGCACGTTCAGAGCAGATGTGGAAGCGTCGTGTTGTACATGACCCAGCCTTGTAGATCGACACTGACTGGCGAGCAACATATGTACTTCTCTGCCTCTGCGCCCAGTGGTTCACAGGCAGCATTTGTAAAATGGACGATATCTGCTCGACTATTTTCTGGGAAACGCGTTTCCCAAATCATGGTTGCGGCCAAGCACAGGGTCGATGTACTAGCCCGCCATCTCGGCTGCGCTCTCTATGCTGCCAAGTCGCCTCCAAGCCTTCATTGCTCATGGCATTCACACTGGTGTCTTACTCTGTTCCATGCGCTCTTTCTGAGTAAACTGTTTGCTCAATAAATGCTGCTGATCATGACATGATCTCAACACCTGTCACTTATGAAAGCCTCGCTTCTCATTCAGTTTGCACTCATAGCCCTGGCAAGCTGTGCGGTTGTCACGGGGCGGAGGCTGCAGCACACTTTTGATACCATGAAATCCAACCTGCATGAGAAGTACGTCCTTATTTCCTCCCTTAGAAGGGACTTGCGCTAACGCTTGTCTTTTCGACGTTCTCTACTGTAGCCTGCAGCAGGCAGGGCTGCTGTTCGGTGGGGCTTCTTGGGTTGGAACTGCGCCTTGGTGCAAAGGAGAGTGCGCTGTTGGAGAAGTCGAAGCGGCTGTTGCCCCTTCAGGACAATTTAGTATGTATCTCCTTGAGTTCTTCTCAGGCCGTGGCGGAGGCCAACTTTGCACAGCTCATTGCGCGTCCCTGTCCAACTTCGGCGGTGATTGTTATATTGGAGAAAAGGCACTTTGCACAAGCCAATATTCTTCTTGTAAGTCGTGTTCCATGTAGTACTCTGACGTAGTTCTAAGTTCCCCACAAAGGTACGACAACCAGCACGACTCGTGCATTTCGTGTGCGCTTTGGGCTATCCATCCATACCAGTTCCAGGTTGGACATATGAGGGGTAAGTTCACGTTTTCAATAATGACTGCTTAGGAATGCACGCTCAGCATCGTCGTAGGTGCAGCCTGAATACCGCTGTTACGCTGTGCCCTAACCCCAGCGCCCGCCCCGTCTTCGTCCGCCTTATAAACAATCTGCACCGAAGTGGAAAGATACCAGGGCCCTTCGCTCTTCAGGCAGATGTTGAGGTCGCTTGTTGTGTATGAAGTACTTGGCATAAAGGGAACGGGAATCACATCCAGCTCCGTTTGAATGCGTCCTGATTGAACCAGGAGCGCACAAGACGTAAACAGCCTCCTGTGGTCTTAGTTGTCAGCCATCTCCAGAATAGTTTCCGTGCCACACACCCTCACAAGTACCGCCAATTCCCTTGGATCTTCTGAAGCTCATTCTGCGTGCCTGCCAAGTAACTCGATGTAGGGAAGTACTTACATTCGTCTTTCCGTCAAAAGCATGATCACAACCGACATTGGCCCGCCATCAACGACAACGATGTATGCCTTTCGTTTCACGCCCGTTCTCTTCCTCGTCTCAACCTGCGTTGGTGTCGTTTCTCACGTGAGCTTCAGCCTGGGTCTAGGCGACCAATGAGTGACGTGTCTTCTTCCTGAACGGCGCGTCACGAGCAAGACCGTTAATGCACGCCTCTGGTCAGACTTCGACAGATAGGGCTTGTATCCAGCGGCGCAACTTGGATGGGGACGGCGCCATGGTGCAAGGGGGAGTGTGCTCCTGGAGAATTGCAAGTTGCAGTCTCGTCCGGCGGGGAAGCTGGGATATTACCCTCTCAAGCAATATGTTAAGCTATAGGCCGCCTTTCGAAGTCACCACCTCATTCAACTTTGGTTCCACATGCGCAATCGGGGAAAAGACCTTGTGTACTTCTGAATACCGCTCATGTAAGGCAAGACCCAGGCTTATTTGCCGAGCTAACAATGAGATTTCGCCGGCAGGCACAACGGTCAAGTCCAATATGGTCATCTGATGCAAGGTAAGTTTGCCTACCTTGAGACTCCCATCTGTCAACCATTATGAGTAAGTTTCCGTTCTCGATCCGACATTGTGGGCACCCTGCTGAAGGACTTCTCAGCTGCACCTTGATCGGCGCTGACTCACTCTGCGGCGATTCAAGCTGTCGCGCATTGATGGTTCGACGAACCAGCGGATTTCAGCAGCGTTCCAGCGAGAGTGGTTTTGCTGTTCTTGCGGCCGAGATGGAGATATCCTGTTGTAGTTAGGGGGCCAGTAGCTCAGCATCCTCCAAGGCCAGCCATTTTCGAACACCAGCGGGTCTCTTCACTCAGCAAGCAGTTGAAGCGGAAATCAATCATCAGAGCAGATATCAACTTCGTCAATCCAGCAGGAGCGCGAATAGTATCGCTATACTTGAGGTCGCTCTTCATGGGTATAATTCGGGCAAGAGGAAAGAAGGTGTTTCGGGGTCCTAGGGCCCCCGCTCAATATTTTTGCAAGACCCCACACGGTCTCTAGCGGCAGAGTTTGCTTCGCCTCTTTGGCTCTCAGGTTATCAAGTCACTCAGCTTAACGCTCTCCATTACTGTTTTTGGCAGCTCCGAATGTGCATGCGGAGGTGTCTGTATTCTGTATTGCTCTGAAACATATGTTGCGACAGTGTTCTGCTTGTGGCTGACTCAAACAAAAGCAGCTTTGCGTCTCATCGCTGGTGGCTGGCTGGTCTGTCACTGTGGGAATTCGTGTCGCGCGCCTCCTTGGTGCACGTCTCAGGGGGCTGTATTTCTTCAACTTGCACGCCGTTTTCAAAGCTAGCGTCAACCGAGCTGCGGGTGACCAACGCATGGCGTTCACTCCATGGCGTGCGGCTCGCACCTCGGACCGGGGAAGGCGGTGTTCTTGAGTCAGCTGTACGGAGTGTTCCAGCACGACTCTGATTAAGTCTCGTCTATTTGGATGACTTCTGGATGTGTGTCTACTCTCACCATGCATGTTGTTCTGCTCTTCCAAGTCTTGCTCGCCTTGCACGTTAGCTGCACAACAATAACACCTCGAGAATGGTTTCATAACGTCGGGGGTATCACTCCAACTTGGACCGAATGGTATGTCCTTCTTTTGTCGCCTTTCCAAGCAACCACTCACCTCTCTCTTACCGTTGTGTCTTCTCAGTATCCAGCAGTCGGGGATATTGTTCAGTGGGGCAACTTGGAGAGGAACAGGACGTTGTGCAAAGGGGAATGTAATCCTGGAGAACATGAGCTTGCAACAGCGTCTGGAGATGCCGGTTGTCCGTATGCTCCCCAATTGTGGTACACGAGAAAGCTGACATCGCAATGTCTAGTTGCAGCTACGACGGACTTCGGTTCTTACTGTTTCATTGGGGAAAAGGCAGTATGCACCACTGAATCTTGTGAGCTAATTTCTCATCGCAACCTTCAAGTAGCCAAGTCAGCTCAATCTCATCAATTCCAATCAGGCACGAGCATCATGAGCACTCTCAAGATCCGCTGTTCCAAGAGGTCTGCACGGTACCCCATTACGGAGGCCAGATACCTGGAGTGAGCACACTCAACGATCATCCCTGTAATATTTTAAGCGTGCAAACAGCTGCGCAGTAGATGGCCAAAGACCGACTTGTCCCGATTCAAGCTCACTTGATCTTCATTCGACAAGTCGAAGGTCTCGAGGCGACTTCAGGTGACGATAGGAGTGGGTATCTGCTTCAATCGCCGGTTGAGCTATCCTGCTGTGTGTGAATTCAGTGCTTTCAGGCGATTGGAATTATACATAAGCCATTCTCATGTCTCGAACTTGTCCTCTTCCATCTCGGATATGCCGCACGGTACCGAGTCGGTATGCCGTGTATAACGGCGATCGTATACCCTCGTGTTTAAACCGGATCAAGCAGCTCTTTGTCTCACTATTGGGGGGGCTGGTTTGGCACCGGAATCCAACTTTCAGGGAGCTGATGGATGGATTGCAAGCCGAGGACCAGCCATCACGAAGGGCTGTAAGCTCTCCTGCTTGTGGCTGGGCGTTAGAGCACTAAGATCGATGTTTCAATGCAGACTTGCTTTGACGAGAAGCCAGACTTAGCGGTCTCACAACATTTCCGTGAAATAAAACAGGCCCGGACTACTACATCCCAGACTAGAATCTCTCACCATGCTCGCCGCCCTCGTCTTTCAGCTCTTGCTTGGCTTACAAGTCAGCTGCGCCACGATGGCAGCTCGAGATTACTTTCCCAACGCTGCGTCTATCACTCCAACCTGGACCCCATGGTACGTCATTCTTCTCCTCTGCGCAGAGAGGCGCTCAGCATTAGCTGACCGTACATGTCTTGTTAGCGTACAGCAATCGGGAATGTTGTCCGGTGGAGTCACTTGGAGAGGGACAGCGCCGTGGTGCAAAGGGGAATGTAATTCCGGTGAACTGCAACTTGCAGCTGCATACACAAGCCGGCTTATCACGTCACGTCACAGCCAATCTCTTTGTTTTGCTGTTGTACGAGTAATCTGTCTGCAGGTACAATAATGGACTGGATTCCATTCACACTCTGTTCCCTCTCCGTCTTTGGCCCGGCAGTTCAGGTACGATGTCTGGGTGGAACTCTCCTTGCCGCGGGACGACACCACAGTTGTGGTCGTGAGTTGCAGGTACTGTAAGGTGGGGCGATACCAGGGGTAACCCGGGTCGGGCTCGGCCAACTCGGTACGGACGCGCCCGAGAATGGAAAGAATTTGTTCAACGTGTGCCATCACGTGATGTCCTTCCTATGATTCCTATCGTTCGTGCGGTTCCCGCGAAGTACGGGCAGATCTGTTGCCCTTGGTGCATAGAGGTACCGCGTGTGTGCTTTGATGAAGGATACGGAAAGAAGCACACGTGTGTGGCGGGCATGTGTAGCATGTCATCCGGCCCTTTGCGTCCTGCGGGGCGGTTGATATCTGTACGCCCTTCGCTCTTCTTCCTTTTCTTCTCCTATTCGATGATCGCAGAACAGAGCTGACTCTGGGGAAGGGTTCGTAGCGTGTTTCTGAGAAGGGGGATCAGTACAACATCCTCTCCTCCCCAGCTTCCGACATCCTCACCACCTTTTTCACCCCCACCTGCGCCTTGACGCAGGCATCGCTCGAGCTGCACCAAGGAAGAGCGCCGGCTCCGCGCTGGTACTATGCAGGGGAGCGCAGGGATATGGGGACGGATGGACGACGGGGTGGTGGAGGATCCGGTGGGGCGCGGGGAGGTGTGTTGCTGCTTTGGGAGGGCGGGGGCGAGGGCGGGGGGGCGGTCGTGCTGCTGGTGCTAGTTCGTTTTCTGGTCGTCACATGTCCTGGGTGCTGGCTGGCCAGCGAGATGTGTATCATCTTTCCCAATCAACAATCTATTGTCCCCTATGTGGATCCATACAATATCAACAATGCGTAGTATACAATGCAACCATTCCTCTTTCCCTCGTTCCCCTCGCAACCGGCCTCTCTTCAGCAGGGCATGGAGGAAGCGGCTAATGATGCCCGTTCCCCGGAGACTGTTCATCCTTCCCTCCGCTGCCTCTCCGCTCTCCTTCTTTCCCGCAGCCTCTCTCCCCCCCCCCAACCCCCAACCCCCTCTCCCTCTTTCTCATCCTCCCCCTCCTCGTCCGCCATCTCCCCTGATCGCCGCCGCACCAACCCCCCATCCCTAGCACTAGGCATCCTCAGTCCCTCCACCCCCACCTCTCACCCCATGCGCCGTCCCACTTCCTCAAGCCACACCAAGTCCGCCTTCCCCGCCCTCCGCCTTCCCCGCCCTACGCGGACAAGCCCATGCATGCGGGGGTGGCGCGCAACCGCCCAAGTCGGAAGTCTGGGTCACCGAGACGCGTACTCGGGTCCGAACAGGGCTGCAAGCCCGCTCGTCGCGGAGAACCGAAGAGAAGGAGGTCCGGCGGCATCGGCGCAGCGTAAGCAAGCAAAGCGTGCTCAGCGGGAGGAGCAAGCTCGGTAGGGCGAAGTGGCTCCGAGTATGGGTCAAGTCCAGATGGCTGTGCGGGCTAAGGGTCCTCCCCTCACTACCCGTCAATCGGGCCTGAGCCCTTTACTACTCTGCGTTATCCAGTACCGACCCCCTCACTCAACTTCATTGCCCAAAAACATCGGCGCTTCCTATGCAATCAGAACCGTCAAGATACGCTATTCTGCAAGATGGCATACACCAATTCCTCCCTCACACTCCCCCAATGCCCAGAAATGCAGAAAATCTACTAGGGTTCCAGATGTTCTTCGTGTGCATCGTTGATGCCGCCAAGCAGCATGACTCAACGAATCGTGCGCTTCGAGAAGAAATCTCACGACATGATGTTTCCGCCCTGTCGCAACAGGGGCTGCTCCATCAAGTATGGGCAATTCTCGAACCACACGCAAACGGAGGACCTCCGATGGAGCGGGACGACTGGACGAGAGTTCTATCCATTCGTGCGCACAGTTCTGCCCTCTCTCCTGCCCCACTGTTGAGCTCACCCTCACATAGCTGCGCTGCGTGAGTGGATTATTAGTTCCCCACACCCCATGGGCACGTTCCAGAATCTCATTCGGTGAGTCTTTTGGTTAATCAGCACCTCTTCCCCGTGTCCTGATACAGAGTCTTAGTGCCGATGTTGCCGAGGGTAGGCTGAGTCTGACTTGGGTATGGACGGATGCGATGCTGAACATACTATTCTAGAACTTGCGAAGGCATACGAGGTTCCATTCCAGTCGGATGCACGGGAGGCATTCGTCCAGGAGCTGTACGCTATTGACAAGGGGCTTCTCACTGACGAAAAAGCGAAGATATACGGCCGGTGCGTGAGCATCATCAACTCATCTGGTGTTGGAAAGTCTAGACTTGCTGGGCAGGTGCGTCCTTCAAAAAGATTGTCTGCACACCAAGTTGACAGGGCGTCCAGCTTGGCATCGGCAGGGTGGAGGATCCAATCTCGACTAACGAGCCTTGCCGTCCGGAGGAACCGCTGTTGGCAATACCTGTCAATCTGCGTGGCGCCAATGCACCCGGTTGGCCTCCGGGAGATGACGCCGTGCGAAGTTATTTCGAAGATTCCTCAAGAAACGATAGCGGCTCTGCATCGGGCCATGTCCGTTGCGCTGCTTTCCTTGGAGCCGCGCTCTCCCAGGCCTTGGGCTCTCTAAAGGACATAGTAAAGAGCAACCCTACCATAGGCTATGTTGAGCTTATACGAACATGGACCGAGCGAATGGAAGGACGAGATCGCACTTATCGCAATGAGTTTTGGAAGAGGGTTATAGCAGCTATTCATGAGGTAGGACCCTTACGCATGCCCAGCTTGGAGATTTGTCTGACTCTGCCTAAGTCTTCTCCAGTGACAAAGTCGTCCCGCTCCAGCCCTAAGCGGAAGGACCCGCAGGACGAGGAGTACAACAAAACGATCGTAACAATTGCCTCGGATTGCCACGCGGAATTTATCACCAAGCCTCGCAATGACCTGTTGGCGTACCTGCAAGAAAAGCGCGGTCAGCGCGTTCAAGTCATCATCTACTTCGATGAATCGGCCATGCTCGACGAGTTCTATTGGATTTTATTGCGCCTGACCAATCGGCAACCGCAGGAAGCGCCGCTGTGGCTGATGTTCATGGCGACTAATGGACGCATCAAGGACTACATGCCACCTTCGCAAGATAGTATGTGTTTGTCGAACCTACGCGCCTTCTCTCTTCTGACATTTACGTAGTCAACTCAGCCAGGCTCTTTAACGAGACGATGCAGCTGATCGACCCGTGGTACTATCTTGGATGGGATCATTGGTCTCAGTTGGCAAGCAAAAGCCGCACGATGATGGCCTTGCTATCTTGGTTGCACGCATCATATTACGGACGTCCCATGTAAGCCATGACTTATATATGACAGCTTCTGATCCTCATCGTCCCGTTTACAGCTGGTACGCTCACAAGAACAGTAACCCCTATCACGATATTCTTGAGCAAGGCACGCTCAAGTTGTTTTGTGGTGTCAAATTCGATCCACACAATATCGACGCAGTCTTCGCTGCATTCTCGGTCATAGTCATACTCGACCTTGTTCTGCACACGGAAGTTGCTGCTACCATGGCAGAGCGAGCGGTCGCAAGTCATATGCGACTGTTCGACGGCGTGGAACGGTTTCCGGAATTGGCGTACCAGACGCATACGCCCGGGGAACCGGTACTAGCGCTCTGCGCCGCATACAACCTCTTCGAGTCGGTCGACACATTCAGCACCGCTTTCCGTACGCTGGTCGCACAATTGGCCCAAGGGAACCTAATACCCAAAGGGGACATCGGGGAGCTAGCCGCACGTCTCCTTTTGTATTGCCCTCGTATAGTTGCGGCCAACTGGCCGGACAGCGGCCGCGAACCGCCCAAATACGTTGGCATGATCGTATGGCTGGAAGCTCTCCTTGGTCCGAAGCTAGATGACAAACTCAGAAAGCAATTCGCGGGACACCACATCAATTTTACGCATTGGCTAGCCACCAAAGAGGCTATCCCATGGGCCTCGTTGACGAGGCACGTACACGTTGTGTTTGAAGTGGGTCATAACTCTGAGCGTGTTTTGCAGGAAACAGCTGGCTAACTGGTGGGCGAGAGGATGTGCCCTACAGTGCTGCCCGAACCAGGAATCCTTCGACGCTCTCGTCGTGAGCTACACCAGCTCCGTAGAAGACAACGCCATCTTCGATCCGGAGCTGGTATGCCTCAACTACATACAGGTCAAGTTCAAACATGATCCGGATTACAAGGCGATAGACAAGATGCATGCCACTAGCATGGCGATCCAACCGGAGCTGTCGAATCAGCCACACCTGGGCATCCTGATGGAGCTTGGCACCGAGGCACGCTTCCAGGACAACAACTTGTTTGTCCGCATGACGGAACCTGGCCTTAGATCGACTCGCACAATATCAACTAAATCAAAGCCCGGGAAGAACTCGATCGGCACTAGCTCTGCCGTGCTCGGCGATGGACAGATGTGGACCATCGAGATCCGTGGCAATACCGCTGAGACCTACTCAATTCTGAATCACCTGCGCATAGCGGACACGTTCCGCACGATGCTCAAATGCTTCGAGCCATCGGTGATGCCGCGATCTGAAAGAACCCGTCCCTGCTATCGATTTACTGGACCGTCAGTGGAGTGGATGGCTGATTACGAACGAGACAGTTTCAGCCAAGGTCAAAGCGTTGCGGATGTCGAGATGGACGACGGATGATGTGTTCCTTGCTGCACGTGAAGCTGTGCCGTCACAATGAAGGAGGATTGGGAACTGAATGAAGTCGGACTTTCATACGTGTACAATATGTAATTACACTGATCAAGATCGCACAATGTTATATTGTTGTGTCCCGGAGTCATGCGTACAGGTCAAAGACACAAGCTTATCCCTCCATGTATCCTATTACCTTGGGCCGGTCCGTCATTCCGAACTCCTTTGCCTCCCGGCTTCTCTGGGAGTGGTTCTCAGTCGCATACGACCGCCCAGCCCACGGTGCATCAGCGATTGCACACGTCGTTTCAGATGTAGCTTCTTGAGCTGCCATCCTCGTGCATACGTGAGGACTTCGTGTTCGTCGACATTGACGCGCAGGCGACGTTGTGCTTTGGTCCGCGAAGCCTTCCATGACGGGTGTAGGCGATCCCTGTTTCTGTCCACGGCTGGTCTGGAAAAAGCCGAAGCCAAAGACCCCCGGCCAGAGCCGTCAAGATGATCATCCTGCTACGCATCCAGTGGGACGCATGGCCCGGAGATGGATGGGGGCGGAAGGCGGGGGCGTCGGTTGAAAAGGCAAGACAGCGACAGCGACAGCGAAACGGGCGAAACAGCAAGCGAGAGAGCGTCGACGATTAGGCGAGTGGAGCAGTTAGGGTTAGGGTTAGGGTTAGGGTTAGGGTTAGGGTTAGGGTTAGGGTTAGGGTTAGGGTTAGGGTTAGGGTTAGGGTTAGGGTTAGGGTTAGGGTTAGGGTTA